GATGACACTTGATGTATCGGGACACTAGCTATAAGTGCATGCATCTCTCTGAATGCAGTTACAGCTATAGTGATACACAATAATGACTGCACTGATAAACGTTAATGATACATGCATTTAAATTCTATATTTATCAGATGTCATCTTCCCCTTTCTCCCCGTATGATATTCTTCGAGGGTACTTTTAGCATTCTTTCCCCTCCTCTCCCAGCTCGCACTATTAACATATTATTATCGTCATGCATAATGTAGGTGAGAGAAGAAACATTGCATTATTATCAGTTGCAGAGATTACATAAAAGCAAGTCATTGAGAGAACATACTGCAATTTTCTGAAAATCAAACAATAAAAACGCTCAGAGTTTGCTTAGAGTCGTAGCCTTCTTCTGTATCGCTCTCCTCTTCAAGTGCTCAGAAATGATGGAGTTGTGCATTGTGTTCTCTTCCTTCTCTCCCTTGTCAAAGCAGTAAACAGGCGCTTGCCATTTCTCATCCTCGAGCACAGCTCCCACCTCAAATGTCATTACATGAATAGATCTCCCTGCAAAAAATTCCACCATTGCCCAAAAAATCAGACAGAACGGGTAACTTGATGTAAATTTTCTAACCACTCGCAAAATTCAGCTACAAATCAACGGTTAGCTATTATTGTTTGTAGTTTATAAAATGATCCAATCTCATATTGTTTGTAGTTTATAAATGAGCCAATCTCATATTCGTCTCGTGTATGGTCCAGAATCATTCCAAGTAATTAAACCTCTCAAATTTCATGCAACAAACATGGACATACTGAAGTAAAACATTTGACAGGTTAAAAGCAGAAAGCCCACATATCCTTGCAGGTTGGCAAGAGATCCTTCCTCGTGTAGTACTTTAGATTTCTCAAAAAATTTTATGTACTCAGAAGAATGTCGGGGTATTGTCTTGAATCTTTTTCATATTTCTAATTAGATGTCTTCAGACGTCTGGACAAACATCTCTAAGAAATCCGAGAGTCGTTTTCTTCTGTAGTTCTTTTGAAAATGTAAATACTGATTTCTGTATTGTATTATTTTTTCCGAAAAAATTCTCGGATAAAACATGAAGATTTCTGTCATGTCTCAAATGGGACAATGAATTTTTGCCAAGCTCAATACAACAAGGGAGTTCTTTAACCAATGCCAATAAACCGAGAAATTTCTCTGCACAATAATGCATAATAATGCAAGAGTTTTCAGCACCAAACCCAAGTTTGTGTGATCACGTTGCTTAAACACAAAAAATAAGAAACATCATGTTGGGATAATTGAACACAGAACCAGAAAATAGAACATTCACAAACACAATATTTACGTGGTTCGATCAATTTGATCTACGTCCACGGCAAGAGAGTGTTTCACTATATTTCTTTATCAAATTACAACACTCATACAAAATTTGAGAACACACTTTTGTTGTGTGGCTATCTCTCGTGTGTCTGTGTTTTTCTCTACTCTGCCTTACACTCTCACTTCCCTTTTAATTCACATAGAGATTGAATAAATCAATCAGTGATTGATTGATTGGGGAGGGGACCACAAGTGAGAAAATGACTTAAAAAAGATGTGACCTTTAATACACGCAGAGACAAAACAAAGAAAGAGGGAGTGGTTGATTGAGATGGGGACAACACATGAAAGTGACATAAAGATGAGACCCCCCTTCCACAATTTCTTCAGCAGCCGCGTTGAGATAACTTGACAGCGACCTCCCGTGATGTTTGGCCAAATTCAAGCCAACAAAGTCAACAATCTCCACATTGGATTGAATTCCCAAACATTAATAACTAGAGAGTCTTCACCCGTCTTGCAAACAATGCCCCAAACGGGGCCACCTAACAAGTGCGAATGCCTCCCAAATTCAAGCAGTGCTTGAACTTGAAGGCTAGGATCGGTTTGGTCAACATGTCAGCTGGGTTGTCTGCAGTACCAATCTTCTTCATTGTGATGTTTCTTTCAGCAGTTTCCTCATATCTGATATCAATATGCTTTGTCCTCTCATGATGTGCTGAGTTTTTGCTTAGATGTATTGCGCTCTGATTGTCGCAAAATACAACTGAACTAGCCTCCTGTAGAAGTCCAAGCTCCCTCACGAGATTTCTCACCCAAATGGCCTCTTTTCCCGCTTCTGCTGCTGCCATGTATTCTGCCTCTGTAGTAGACAAGGCAACTGTCGACTGTAGAGTCGATCTCCAACTAATAGCTGAGCCAGAAAGAGTAAAAAGATAACCAGTCAAAGATCTCATTTTATCGAGATCACCTGCATAGTCAGAATCCACAAAACCTACAACTGAGGTTCCCAAAGTACTGCTATCAAAAACTAAACCCAAATCTGAGGTACCTCTGAGATACTGAAGGATCCACTTCACTGCCTCCTAGTATGCCTTTCCTGGTTGAGCCATATATCTGCTCACTACACTGACTGTCTGGGCAATGTCTGGACGAGTGCAAATCATAACATACATAATGCTAGCCACTGCATTGGAGTATGGAACTCGGGACATCTCCTTCTTCTCATTCTCACTTGTAGGTGAATCTGAAGCCAAGAGCCTAAAGTGAGGAGCCAAAGGAGTCGTAACGGGCTTGGCCCTTTTCATCCCAAAACGTTCAAGGACCTTTTCAATATAACTCTTCTGTGAGAGATATAAAGTTCCAGATTTCCTGTCCCTCCTGATCTCCATACCTAAGATCTTCTTTGCTGCACCAAGATCTTTCATCTCAAACTCATCACTGAGTTGTTTCTTCAAAATAAGAATCCGTGACATGTTCTTAGCAGCAATAAGCATGTCATCGACATATAATAGAAGATACATAAAAGAATCATCTCCTAGATGCATGTAGTACACACAACTGTCATAAGTACTTCTTGAGTACCCATGATTAAGCATAAAATTATCAAACCTCTTATACCACTGTCTGAGAGATTGCTTCAGGTCGTACAAAGATTTCTTCAATCTGCAAACTTGATCTTCTTTACCTTCTACGAAGTATCCCTCTGGCTGAGACATGTAGATAGTCTCCTCAAGTTCACCATGCAAAAATACAGTCTTCACATCAAGCTGCTCAAGCTCCAGATCAAATAGAGCAATTATGGCAAACAATACACAGATGGAGGTATGCTTCACAACCGGAGAGAACACTTTATCATAGTCAATTCCCTCCTTTTGTCTATAACCCTTAGCCACCAACCGTGCTTTGAATCTAGCATCTTCAACCCCTGGGATCCCTTCTTTCTTCTTGAAAATCCACTTGCATCCAATTGCCCTTTTACCCTTAGGTAATTACACCAAATCCCAAGTCTGATTCTTGTAGAGTGACTCGAGTTCTTCTGTCATAGCCGTGGCCCAACGTCCAGATTCTCTGCATGAGACAGCTTCAGTAAAATTTGATGGCTCTTGAATACACATCTCTTCAGCTGTCGTGAGAGCATACGCCACTAATTCAGCATGTGCATATCTTTGAGGAGGTTTGATCTGTCTCCTCTCTCTGCTAGTGGTTATGGAATAAGGTTCTTCAATTTCAGCATCATCAGCATCCGAGCCTGAATTATGTTGCTCTTCTACAGCTGTAGGAGTAATTTTTATAGACGACTTTTAAGACGTCTCTCCCTCGAGCTCCACCTGAAGCACCACCTTATCCATGGTCTTCTCTACATTTCCTGTAGACTCAACAGAAACCTTCCCACGATTAAACATATATCTTTCATTAAAAGTAACATCTCTACTAATAATGAATTTAGGAGAATCAGGTTCAAGACTCCACAAACGATAGCCTTTAACGCCATCAGCATAACCAATAAATATGCATTTCTTAGCTCTAGGCTCAAGCTTACCCTCTCTAACATGATAGTAAGCGGGACATCCAAATATCTTTAAATTTGAATAGTCATTTGGTTTACCTGACCATACCTCATTTGGAGTCTTGTGTTCTATGGCTGTAGGAGACCGGTTCACTAAGTAACAAGTCGTGTTAACAGCTTCAGCCCAGAAGTCTTTATCCAACCCAGAGTTTGAGAGCATACACCTAGCTCTCTTCGTCAACGTTCTATTCATGCGTTCTGCCACCCCGTTTTGCTGAGGAGTGTGCCTGACTGTGCGATGTCGTACGATCCCAGAATTTGAGCAAAACTGATTGAACTCACCACTGCAGAACTCTAGGCCATTATCTGTTCGGAGACGTTTAATCTTCTTTCCAGTTTGATTCTCAACAAGTACTTTCCACTTCTTGAAAGTTTCAAACACCTCGCTTTTGCGCCTGAGAAAGTAAACCCAAACTTTCCTAAAAAAATCATCAATAAATGTCAGAAAATAAAGAGCACCACCTTTGGATGGAACCTGAGCAGGTCCCCACAAATCTAAATGGATGTAGTCGAAAGTGCCCTTCATCGTATGTGAGCCAGTCGAGAAGCTGACCCGAGTTTGCTTCCCAAACACACAATGTTCACAAAAATCAAGTGATGATGTATGGTCACCACAGAGTAAGCTACGTTTACTCAAAATAGTCATCCCCTTCTCACTCATGTGACCTAAGCGCATGTGTCATAACTGAGTAGTGTCCCTATCAGCATCAAAAGACACACCTGCAGAGCCTGTCACCGTACTGCCTTGGAGAACATAAAGACTGTTCACCTTACTACCTTTCATCACAACCAATGAACCCTTAGTAACTCTAAGAGCTCCATCTTCACCAGTGTAAGAACACCTAATAGAATCCAAATAACTCAAAGAAATCATATTTTTCTTTAAGTCCGGGATGTGTCTCACATTTGACAAAGTTCTCACTATCCCATCGTGACACCGGATGCGAACTGTACCAATGCTAATTGTCTTGCAAACTGTATTGTTGCCCATCAAGATTGATCCACCACTTATAGATCTGTAAGTAGTGAACCAATCTTTATTTGGACACATATGAAAAGACGCACCTATATCCAAGATCCATTCTCTATCGGAACGGCCATCCAAGGGACATACTGCAAGAACCGTCTCAGCAACAATGACAGTATCAGTCTTTGCCGTATTAGCTGAATCTGAGGTTTCACCACGCTGGTTGTCTTTCTTCTTTAGAGCATAGCATTCTGACTTGTAATGTCATTTCTTGTGACAGTAAAAACACTCCATATTTTTCTTGTTTTTGGCTGACCTAGACTTTGAACGATTTCTGGATTGCCTTTTATCACCCTCTCTGGTCTTCATTCTACCTCTGGCTAGCAGACCATCAGCTTGCCTATCGGTACCTCTCCCATTCAACTTTGTTCTTAACTCAGCAGAATTCAAAGAGGCCTTCACATCCTCAACACTTATGGATTCTCTTCCATACAACATAGAATTAACAAAGTTTTCATAAGAGTCAGGCAAGGAACACAACACAATGAGAGCCTGGTCTTCATCATCAAGCTTTAGATCCAGGTTTTTCATATCCATAATAATTTTATTAAATTCATCAAGGTGTTCTTGAATGGGTGTACCTTCCTTCATCTTCAATGTGTATAGCCGTTGCTTCAGGTATAATCTTGTAGTAAGAG